GGGGGGAGGGGGGGGGGAGGGTGTTACCACACGGCACTCCAAGCAGCCTGACCAGTTACGGTGTTTCTCTGACCCACGCACAGCTGGAGCGCACTGCCAGACAGGAAGCCCCCCAAAAATATCCGCAGGGGCTACACTGCAGCCACTGCACCACAGCCACTGCACAGCAGCCCAGCACCCGAGGCCGCCGAGTTCCGCCGGAGGGTGAGGGGCGGCGCCGCCCTCTCTGCCTCGACTGGCAGCGCGTCTCAGCCAGTGGGAACCTCACCTGGTCTAGCTTCTCCGGCGTGGGGAGGAGGGAGAGCCACTCGAGCTTCAGGTGAAGCTTCCCAGTGGAGACTTCATCTAGCTCGAACCACTGGAAAAGGAGAATGGCAGGAGAGCTTAGAAGTCTCTCCAGAGGCTGCCGCTTCTTATTCAGGCAGCAGGGGGCGTAGTAGTTAAGTGATTCGGTGCTCTACCCAGCAGAAGGTTCCGGTATCTGGATGTTCAGTTGCAACAATCGGCTGGGATATTACTGTTTTTTTTACTCGGATGAATGTTCTCATAGGATTTCTGTAAGCCTCACCTCATCCACCCTCTGCTCCTTGTGTAGTTCCGTCATGTCAATCATTAAACTGCAAGAGACAAAAAAAGAAAGAAAAAAAAAAAGTATTAATTGCAGGGCAAGGCTGATTTAAGGAAAAGCAGATCGATGAAAATGGATAAATGATACGATGACATTTTACCTGCCCAGGAAGTCGTCTTTGTCTGGGTCCTCATCAAAAACCTCGATTTCCACGTGCTGTCCTGAGTGCTCGTACACGAGGGCCTGCAGAGAGGGTTAGGGTTAGGGTTAGGGTAATGAAGACAGCAGAACAGCAAGGTCGGGTGATGGGCAGAGAGCCCTACAGCACAGAGAGTGGGTATGGCGGCGGGCAGAGACAGACCACAGCACACCCACACAAACAGAGAGGCTGACAGACAGCAAACAGGACACCTCCACAAACGGAAGGTCTCTCAGACAACCAGCTCATTAAGGGGGAAGCAGCTCTTGTGCTTCACCGCAGATGATATTTCCAGTCCCCAGGGAGCGACAGACCGCTTTCTTCCCTTCATCCCTTTTTAGGTCATGTTCCACTAGAAGCCGGCTTCACAGCTCCAAGACGGTGAAATTTCACAGATTTCTCTTGGGCTGAAATGCTCGTCTGACCACACAGGCCCGGCGTACCTCGTAGACCTCGTTCCACTTGGGGTTGACGGTCTCTTTGATGGTCTTGCTCTGGAAGAGCTGGTTTCCAATCTGGACCACACCGTAGGGGTCCGACTTCCCTTTGATCAGCCCCCTCAAGAACTTGTCTTTGCCCAGCAGGTCCTGCGCCTCCAGGAAGTGGATCCTCAGGATCCCCTGAGAAAAGCATAGGAGGAAGAAAGTGTCAATATGGGGGCAGTTTCCATGGCTACAGAACATGTGTGTGGGGGAGAATTATAAACCAATCCATGTAATCCCGATAATAATAGTAGACGCTGCCAGCTAGAGAAGTAGCAGATGGGGTCCCTGCACAAAAAACCAGACTAAGTGTGGGTTTGTATACGACATCTATGTGCAAGTTCAATGTGTTGGGTCAGGAGGCCGAGTAGTGGGCGGAGTCAGGGTGGACTGTGGGTGTGGTCACTTCCAGTGGCTGGTGGGAGGGGCCAACAGGTGGCCTCTTACCTTGGGCATGGGGAAGCGCAGCTGCGACAGCTGCACCTGACCCACCAGAGGTATGGTGATGCGGTTGGGCATGACCAGGTTGTTGCAGATGATGTCCTGGATCAGGTTGTCGCACAGACCACTACCAGCAGAGAGAGAGAGAGAAGGGGGGGGGGGCAGGACGTTACCCCCACAGCTGAGCTATCGCTGCCTCCGAGGTGCACAAACCCTCCTACTGAAGGCGTGTATCTGTCAAAAAAAAAACTGGGCTGCGTTCACGCCAGAGGCAAATCGGGGCCAGAGACCCTACTTTCCAGCGGAAGTTCAGAACATCTATGAATAGAGCTCCTTTACAGTGTCACCCACTTCAAACCCAGCACCAGAAGTGGGGGCCGGAGCACCACGGAAACTACACAGCAGAGTAAATGAAAATATCTCCCGAGTAAAGTACAAGGCAGGAGGGTGCGCCAACACCTCTACTTCCTGCTTAGCTTTCGGGCGACCACACCCATGAGAGCAACAGGAAACGTCAAGAACGCCTCAATAACGTTCATCTGTTAAAGCAAACAAACCACCACCGAAGATTACGCAGCGAACAAAATATCAACCAAACAACTGACAAGATTAATGTGATTTTACCAGTTGTTCTGCAGAGGGCGATAATTCAGCCACAAATAAGGTACGAATAGTTACGGTCTGTGTATATTGGATACGTAGAGCTGAAAATTCAGATTTGTCTCATTGTGTTCACAAGACTGCTAGGCTTCCCTTTGCCACCAGGGGGCAGAGGCATACTTTGCATCTGACTCCAACCAGAGGGCTTGTTTTAAAGAACGCCCCCCCTTTCCAATGATAAACCTTAATCCCTCCCCCACAGGCTCCCTCACTGCAGAAAAATGCCAGACTTACAACATATTTAATTGCGGCCACTGAAGGGAAACAGAGACCGAATGTGCATGGAAAAGACTAATGAACCACCCCTCGTTTGTTGGGGGGGGGGCGGAATGTCAGACTGCAGCAGAGGGGCTTAAATCATCGGACACTTATTCCCCAGAACATCACGGTTTTCCAGACAAATACAACCACCGTCCACTAAAAGTTCATTAGCGTAGCATGCTAGCATTTTATTTCAGGAACCTCTGGATGAGTGTACATGCTAGAAAAACAATAATAGGTTGAAACATTTTTAAATGGTGACAGGGGGAATCTTGTGACTGGAAACTTTAATCCTTCTTTGTGGGTCAGACACACTCCGGCACAATAATGTAGGGGTCGGGGCAAAATTGGGACACCACTTTTCCCAAAGCTGCCCTCTGACAGGCAAAATGACTTAAATAAAATAAACTAGATCCATTCCCGGAGCCACGATCCCCTTTATACGTTTCTGGCACGAACTACAAATCACCCAAAGGTAACCTGAGACACCCAGCCCTGGCCCCCCCCCCGCCCCGGAGGCTGTGATGGGAGAGGCCGAGGCATCCAGGGGGTGGCGTCGGGAGGGGCAGGTGTTGGGTTGCCAGCCGGCCTGATTCGTCCCATCAGCTCCCAGGGACTGCAGGGGAGGGGGGGCGTCTTCAGAAAACATGACATCACGGTCTTGAGCCAATGGCTTCACAGCAATTCTTGTCCAAAAACAAAAATAAAAGTACTGGAGGGGAATTGGAGGTAAGATCATGCTGCTCGAAACCAGATTTTTAGAGCGACATAGACCAATGGCAGAGCTACCACAAACCTACATTCCAGAGCAAAGGACTGAGAGCAATTTTCACAACAGATCCTCCCAGGGATGAAGGAGGTCATACCAGCCTGGGCGGTTGGGATGTCAGCGCCCTACTGCCCCACACCATGCTGATCACGGTGACCCACTCTTGGGAACTTGACGAAGTAGTGAAAGCAGCTGGGCTGGACTGTACCATTTCTGCACTTGAAGGGGGTTTGCTATGCCGCACAAACTTCGAGGGTTAAACCAAAGGCAAATCGACCTCTGCTGATGGACAAACGAACCAGATACGAGAGTCTCTCCAGAACTTACTTAAGCCCAGGAATATCCAGCATGTTCGTCAGGCCGGTCCAGTTGATGTCCAGAAGCTGGGGGGGGGGGGGAACAGAACGGAAAATACTAAATACAGAGTGACCTTCTGAAACACAGACGGCTGCATTATAGCACGGGATTTATGCCTGCGAGGATGAAGTGGGGGGGTGGGGGGGGGGTTAGGTTAATGAAGTGGCACGCGACACGTCCCCGATCCTCAGGAAATGAACCAGTGACATTGAGCAACGACCTGAAGGAGAACGAGCAGGGAGGAAGGTGCTGGGGGCACGGCAGTCGCTCGGGCAAGCTGCGGCCGGGCTACACCCTGCACCCTACACCCTGCACCCTAGACCCTGCACCCTAAACCCTGCACCCTACACCCTGCACCCTAAACCCTGCACCCTGCCTTTTAATCTGTTTAAAACCCATCTCATTATGCGCAGCTTTAATTGTATCAGAGTTGCTATCAAACGAAGATTCTAGAACAGGTCTGTCAAATCAAAAAGCTTAAAAAAAACAACAAGCTTTTCTCTTGCTGACTGTGCTGACAGGACGATTACAAGGGCAATATCTGTCACATGACTAAAAGCATGGGTCACGTGACCTGATCTCCTACGGAACACTGCAATGCACCGCGAGGCCTGCTGGTGGCGCCCAGCAGAAATCACTCCTTACGGTCAGCTACAGCTTCAGCAAACATTTTCCTTTCTTGAAAAGGATCAAAGGTGGCTCTAAACCTCGGACTCTACAGATTACCATGGAACTAACCGAGGAGAGAAACAGGACGCACTGAATGTGACGCACGATCTAATAAAATAAGTCACGCAATGTGACGTTTTTCTTCTGGGACCTCGAGAGACTGACTATGCAGTGTCACACAATGATGGGTCGGGGGATTTGCAACGAAGGTCTGCCAGAGGATACAGCGGCAGGAAGTGCCGCTGAAGCAGCGCATATGTGCTGCTTCAGCCCCCTGCGGTCGCGTGTTTCACGCTCACGGTCACGCAAACACTTCGAAATCCTTTAAAAACACCTCAGGAGGGGAGTGAAGGTAACCAGCAGCGGACATGGGATCTGGATGCAGCTGGCTGGCTGTTTTTTTTTTTGGAAATCTTTGAAATATTCATCTGTATAAATTTGGGAAAACATATTAAAAATAAAAACGAGACAATCTAGGTCTTTAGGTGCCTAAATAATACCACAACAGCCCGAGCCAGTGCAGGACAGACTGGGTGCTCCGGTAACAGCGGGAGCCACAGCCCGTCTGTGGCTGACAGCTGGAAGTGACGATTTGCATCATGGCCACACCCCCGTTAAAGACCAGCCGCTCTCACCGGGGCAGGTCGCCACGGTGACACCACAGACGAGCTGGCTGCCCACAGCTAAGATAGTGTGTCGTTTGGCAATAAAAACAAGAACTCCTCCGCCTGGTAACCAGTTTAGGGAACTTTTTATAGGCAGTAGACGCATAAAAAGTAACAAAAAAAGAAAATAAATAACAGCACAGTCTCCTTGTTTACACATACGCATAACATCATAACACCATCCCACTGCCGGGTGTCACATGAGGGTGTTTTGTGAAAACTCTCTGCAGAAGGAGAGACCCACAATCTGACCCTGGGTTTGTAGACTTGTGCAAATTATCACACCATGAATCATCAAGGACGACGCCGTGACTTGTTCGGTTCACCATGAGAGGAATGTGGAGAACCTCAGGAAGGTAGAGAATGTGACTAAATACCTTCCCTGCAGCACACATCTGTGTTTAAACTGGGCCTCCGGGGCAATAGGGGGAGCTAGACCTCCCTCTAACTCCAGTTTCCTTTGAGATCAATCGAGCTGTTCGTGGGTTAAACTCATTCTAAAACCGGTAGGCCTGATGAGCTCGAAGACAATGTTTGAGTGACGTTTGGAAGTGCTTCTGAATATTGGAGTATAGGCACAATGGATGTAGCTCTTTATGGGTGCCTTGCTCTGCCTTGGACAGATAGAATGCAAAGAGCTGGAGAGTCCAAGGCAGATAGGAAGCATGGAGAGGACCAAGGCGCTCTCTCAGAGGGTCTGTGCGATGTCACACTGTTCTCCATGAATAATGGCCAAAGCAGCTATGACCCATGTGACTGGAGTCTGCAATTAAAAGCTGTTTTCCCATATAAGGACAGGAGGTGGCTGTGAGTGGTGGTAACTAAGTCGGGCAGCTGCCATGGTAACCAAACAAACATGCAAAATCAGAAAATCTGTCCAGGTCATGGGCCTCACCGAGGCACAGGGACTGAGGCGGGGCAGTTAATCTCAAAGTTTACAAGGCAAACTTGACCCGCGACGGCACGGCAGCGCTAAATGATCACATCCCCTTGATTAAAGAAAGAAAGATCTGTAGCTTTCCTGTGAAGATTTAATCCTGTCTTTACAAGGTCATCTGTCTCCTGAGGCATTTTCATGACTAAGGACAAGAAACATTGTCTTGTTTAAGGGCCTAGAGTCCTGGTTGTAAAGCCACGAGCTGTGTCTCAGAACACAGACATCAGTCCCAGTCCAGCAGGGGGCAGCCTCTGCGCTGGGACACGCCTGTTCACCAGAGAGTGCTCAGCGCCTCCCGGGAGCCCCCAAACAAGGGAGACCCCGTAGACAGCAGCAACCGCAGGAAGTCAAAAGGCCACTTCCTGTCATCTGCTAGGTGCCGTTTGAAAGCTGCCCTGTGACATTTCATGCCCAGAGAAAACCTCAGCCATCGCCTTCTCAACTGCCAATCAGCTTTTAAACCAAAACAAACGCCGCTCTGATGTCAGCCCACATGACTTAACAGGCAATGCCCAATCATGCTTTCTCCGGACCAGCACTGACAGTGGTTAGTTACCCAGATTAAATAATGCCAGTTTAAGGGCACAGACCAACCTGATTTTCCACTTTAAACCCTGAGAAAGACCTTCCTGTCGCATACTCAGCCAAATTACTGAAATTCCCCAGAAAATATTCAGCCACCACAAGGTGCAGTGACTCTGGATTAAAGAGCTGGGCAATAAATTAACATACTATAAAAAGACCCAACAAAAACAAACACTTTGCTCTTTCCGGTCCTCCAGTCTCCAGATCTCCAAGGACCATATATGCCAATTTGAGATGGAGGAGACACTGGGCAGTGGGAAGCGATTCCACTCCCTGAAGCCACTGGAGACCCTCTGATGATACAGAGCCACAGGAGATACAGCATTGCCCTTCAGAGGCTGGGCAGGGCAGGGCATTGTGGGAAATTGTGTTCCCCGTGCCAATTGTTTGCTAAAGAACATATCAAGCTGAAATTTACAAAGTGCCTAAAGCAAACATTGCATGATATGGGCCCTGGCTGTAGGACGTCTGAGAAGTTTTTAGGTCACCTTTGTTCTCTGATATCTAAAAGTCCCAAGCCAGTGTCCTCCGTCACAACACAAGCTGTGAGACAATGCTATCAGAGTCCCACCCTACCCCCCTCAGGCCTCCCGATTGGATCCTCAGAGCTGTCACTCAGAGGACTCGCGGGACCTCTGGGAGTTATCAGCACACGTATGCGGGGTGAGGCAGCATAATTTCCTGACGTTTGGGGCACTGTAGTGTCCATTGAGAGCGGCTATCGGGCTCCGATCAGCATAGGATGTTGACAAACAGCAAGAGATTAAATAGGAAGGGTGTGTCCAGCGAATGCTATCTAAAATAGTACTGAAACCAGAACAAGCGAGTTTCTTGTGAAGAGAAGAGGCGGTACATACCGGTTTCTTCAAGAAGAAGATGGCCAAGGCTCCAACCAAGGGCATGTCTCCCAGCAGAGGCTCCATGACGACCCTCAACACACCATGCAGCTGTGATACACATGGACAAAGACAGTAAGATGGCCAGTAATGAGTTACTCCGTCTTCTGATGGTGTCTCGAGGTTAGAGGACTCCACGGATGCTTTCTTGCGCCATCTGGAAGATATGAGGTCATATCAGGCATAGATAGACATAGACAGACACACAGGATATCGGGCTGATGGGCTTTCAAGAAAGGGACCGGACGCTTAAGACTGGGAGTAATGTTCACGTGTCCTGAACGTCTGTTGACACCGTTCCGCACTTCAACGCACATACGTCACCTCTCTGACTCAAACCCAGCCATGGTGGTCTCAGGAAATGAATCAGAATGAAAGTGGCAACAGTCACATGAAACCAATGGTCTACTGCAAAGAGCTTCGGGGATGGACTCCTGGATCTGCTTGGCCCAGAATAGCTCTGGATGGGGATGACACGTTTGTATCAACGTGCCCTTATTTGGGTGGCAACAGGTCTCCAGACGACTCTTTAAAAGCTAGATTGCATTTTCTCGTCTCTGTCCTTGTGTGGTAAAAAATGAAAAGAGAAGAAAACAAAAACAGCTCGACAAAGTCACTGAAATTTGTTCGACCTGCTTTTATTCGCCAGTAAATTTCTCGAGTGTTCATAGTAGGCTGCCAACAGTGCACAGACAACGCAAAAATCATACGCCGAACCGTACGCAAGTAAAAACGAATGCTGAGAAGAAGAGCAGCTAGTCTGCTTCACCAGTAATTACCAGGAACAATGAGTTTCTGTTTCTTCTCACTAACTGGGAGGTAACAAAAGGAGACGTGCGTGTGGCGGGTCTGGAGCGAGAGAGAGGTCGCCAGGGGGCAGAGAAGAGTGCATCCAATTCCATATTAGCACTGGGCCCTAAGGGCAGAGGCTCACCACTATGACAGTCACCTATCAGGGACACAAATGACCGCCCTGCTATGTCACTGAATCCAGATTAGTGCGACATTCCCTGAAAGAAAAATCAGCTAATGCAGAAATTTGTATAGTACCTCCATATGACCCAAGTCCATAGTCCAGCCATATGGGTTTTGCAACCCATGGGTCCTGTATAAACCTAGGCATGCTGCAGGCCTGTCTAAATATTATGCCTGTCCAAAAAGCCTAAGAAGAAAACACATTTTCCCTTTCTCAAGGCTACGGGATGCCAGCACATTTAATTCGAAATGTATAACTACTCACAATCAATCCCACCAAGCCAAAAAAAAAAAAAAAAACACAAACGGGGACTAAACTAGCTAGCTTTTTAATGATAAGGACCCCTCACCTGTACGCTCTTAATGCCGGCCCTGCAATAGTAGCGCTTGATGTCGACATCGATTTCCGTGTTCCCCACGAAGCTGGTGGGGCAGAAGCGGACATCCCATCAGCACGGAAACAAGGGAGGCGATGTGGGGGCGAGCAAGCGGCGGCGGAGGGGGGACGACGTGTGTCACCTTATCTGCAAGTCCATGATGATCTGCCTCTGGTCCACGTTCTCGCTGTAAACCTTCACGCCGTTGATTCGGAGGGGCTGGGGAGATAGACGAAGAGATGTCAGGACTGAGGGAGCGGCGCCACTTTGGGTCGGTACAGGGTACCGCGGAGTCCAAGCGCAAGGACTCCGAAGCGACTTCAGCCCGCTACCTTGTCCCCCATGTCGATCTTGGTGAAGCAGAATGTGTTGAGGTGGGGGTTGGCTCCCTTCACCGCCGGCTCGATGGTCTCACGAAACAGCTTGTCCACAAACTGGCAGATGTACGGCCACATCTGTTTGACTGTCTGTGGAACAAGAGGAGAAATATGGATATAGACATGTGGACTGGCTATCACCCTCGAGAGTCTTGTCCGAGGTCACCCCCCGAGAGTCTCGTCCGAGGTCACCCCCCGAGAGTCTCGTCCGAGGTCACCCCCCGAGAGTCTCGTCCGAGGTCACGCCCCGAGAGTCTCGTCCGAGGTCACCCCCCGAGAGTCTCGTCCGAGGTCACCCCTTGGACAACACTGAGTCTGAGCTGGTGAACAGGAACTCTGCCTGAAGTCACGCCCCCCCCCCCCAGATAGCTTGTATGTGGTCTTTCCAGGGTGCTGTGTGCTAAAACACACCCTGAGGTTGTCTCAGATCATCACGTACTTTGAATCTCTGACGAAACAATGCTGCATTGTTTGTGCCGGATGAACAGCCATGTGACGTGTATCAATTAATATTGTATGAATAACAATATTCAGGGAGTTACACAAACATGGCTTTGACCTCTTATTTTGCAGTGCAACCTCTAATGAAGTTTATCTGTCCTGTTCCTAATGTCAGTGAGAGGTCACGTCTCACTGATAGCTCCCTTATAGCCGCAAGGCCGTTGGGCTGAGCGCCAAAGCCTTTTGGCATGGATATATGTGAAACTGTAGGCACTTTTCTCTATACTGCGATCAGGTTTCGATTGTTAGCATTTCAGTGACACAAATGCCTGACAGAATGATTGACCAATGAGTGCTGGAAGAACAAACACTGACAGTGAAAGAAAGCTCGCCCTCTGCGTGGCGATCGTACCGCGATGATCACAAATCACCACCCCCAGAAGTCGTCCCTCTGATGCCCAATTAATTTTGATCACCAAGGGAAAAAAAAATAGGTGACATGCTGCAGTAACATTTCGTATCATGTGACTCTGAGCACCAATCGAACGAGGGCTTCACAGCTTTAATGCAAATCCTCATTAGCGAGGTATGGGTGCACTGCCCTTACGCCACCCTGAGAATAAGCTGTATCACAGAGATTGGATCCCCTTGGATTACCAGGGGACATGACCGAATGGGGGGGGGGGAGAGAGAGAGAGAGAGAGAGAGAGAGAACACCAGGAGAGTTCCAGATACCATCCTATTTATAACACTCTGCTGCAACGAAGTCAAGAAAATGTGGAACAGGGCAAAAGTTTAAAAAAAAAAAAAAAAAAAGGATTACCTTCCCACCAACGCCGGGGAACAACAACAATCCAAAAATGTAAGAGATAAAAGACGACTTACCTTGTTTAACCACTCTACTCTCTCTACATCTGGGAAGTGAACCTGAAACCAAAGAGCCGGGCATTAATACTGACATACACACCATTTCCTATGAAATTAAATGACCCTTTATTTGCCGTTTGCACAAGTATGACTACAGGTATGTTGGAAGGGGTCTCTTCGCCAGTCCCACCATGATCTCCATGAGACATATAGCAGGGATGGCAACTGGTCAACTGGCTGGAGTGAGATTTTCAATTCGAGACAGATCTGCACACACATGCACACGCATTTACATGCATGCAAGGGTTTTATTACCTTGCAAACAGTCTGTACGGTTTACAACCTACCCCGAACGCTTCTGATGTAGCTAATTTTAGGTTTATAATGGAATGGAACATAGATTTGCCGTAGGATTTCTTGTGCGAGCGCGAGTCTGAAAGCACGAGTTTCACTCCAGATGCGTCATACAGACACATATACAGGCGAGACCAAGCACGGGGTCAGCCGGGACCCCTAGTTAAGGGCCTTGTTCATAGGCCCACGGACATGGGACTATTCCTGCTGAGACCAAGACCGGCAGTCTTCTGGTCACAGTCACAGAGGTGTAGCCTGCTGAACCACTCACCACACACATGATAAGTGTTTAGAGGACACATTGTATTGAGAACCATTGTATTACTCTATTTCTTAATTATTATTATTATTATTATTATTATTACTACTACTTCTGATTTTTTATTTTTATTTTATTTGTTCTATTTCTTTAATGTCTGGTTCTGTGTCCGTGCAGCATTGCTCTGGTTTCCTCAAATTACCCCGCGGGGACAAATAAAGTTTTTTTTATTTGATTTGATTTGAAAATACAGGAGCATTGGACATATAACCAGCTACGTGGAGCCTGTGTGAGGGGTTGGCATCCTGGATCGACACAACAGGGCCAGGGCCAGGGTCTCGAGGCTCAGACTCAAAGTGGGAAAACCTTGAGCAAAGATAAGCAGACGTCTAGCATCAAACCGTAGCTCTGCAATGTACGTCACGCGTGAGCCAACCGTCGATGAAGAGAACAGCGACGAGCAATGTTACAACCCCAGCGTCTGGCCTGAGTGTGTAATGAGCCAACATCTGCCTGCTGGGACAGCGTGGCATGATGATCAGAGAGCGGACGGTCCCTTGGAGGACAGGAGGGCACAGTGCCAGCATGTCATCTGAAACAAGGGCTGCAACATGCCGACCAGATAGTAGGAATGCTGTGTTGAACTGGCAGGCCCAGCTCTGGGCAGAGCCCCAGCACGAATGATGCTATAGTTTATTGTGGTGTATGAGTATTACCCAGTCACTGTATCTTTACAGAGTTGGCCTGAGCACTGTCCTGAGCCATAGCCAGTTTTGGTATGTATTGGGTAGCTAGCATGAGCGTTAGCCAGAGATTTAGCCAGTTATGCCAACTTCAGGAGGGTTAGCGTGAAACATTAGCAGGTTAAGATTTCAATTAGCTTCGGGGGTTTAGCTAATTGCAACAAACTGAACATTAACCTGAGCTCAAGGGTGCTAATGGTGCTGTCAGCCAGTTGCAGCAAGAATTATCCTAAGCATTAGCCAGAGCTGTAGCCAGTGATGGTACGTTTTAGGGGGTTAGCGTGAGCGTTAGGCAGAGCTGTAGCCAGTTAGGGCAACTTCAATGTTAGCCAGAGTGCTAGTTTGAGTTTTAGCAGGTTAGGACAAGTGTTACCCTGAGGGCATCAGCCAACTGCAGCAAGCAATAGTTTGAGAATTACACTGAGCATTAACCTGTGATAAAAGGACGCCAACATCAGGTAGAGTATTAGCAGAAAATTTTAGTAAAGCAATTCAAGAACTGTATCTGCTAAGGGTGCAACATAATATTGTTTTCTGATGGGAATCCCATTTTCCTAAGAACTACCAGCTGCCCCCGGCTATATTCCTGACATCAAGAATGGCGTCCTCTTTGTCCATCTTTGACAACACATCACCTGTTATTGGCATGCTTTTTGAAAAAGTACGCAGCCTGTCAGTTTCCTCTAGGAAAGAGCAAGGACATTGAAAGCATTTAGAACAAGGCGATTAGCTAAAGGGCAGCCGGGAACGTGCACTCGCTCCCCGCTAATGTGGCGCAGGGGAGTGTTTAGCCATAATGGACGGATCCACCTGCATGGTCCTGCTGAAAAGCTAAAGGCTTCACACCCCCCCCCCCCCCCCCCCCGGCTCAAGCCAGTGCAGCCTGCTCTCCTGTGACTGAAACAGGCAGCTCTGTGACAAACAGCCTAATTAAATGCATTTCCCAAATTGCGCAGCACTGTAAACACACTCCACTGGAAGTGGATAAACATGCCTTGAGGTACAGCAAACCGCTCGCAGACTCCTGGACTGCGTACGCTAGACCGAGCTTAACACACACACACACACACACACACACTATTACTGTTATTACTATTCTCTGGCTGACACATTTAAACACCTGGGTGCTCTAGGATTCAGGTTAACTCCTCCTCCCTGGGGACTTCCCTAGGAATTAAGCAACTTAAGCGTTACAAGTTTTGTGTCGTGAACCATCGAGCCACCCTGGACGACTTGGCCAGGTAAACATTGAGTAAATTAACAGACGGAGCCATTCCTTCGGCGGCTTGCTGTCGGAGACAGTGAGAGCCTGTGACGGAGGACAGGAAACCAGCAGGGTGCTGCTGAGGTGTGCGGATCGACACGGCCGTGACACACTGGCACAATTTCCTCTCTTCCTTTTTAGGACTGAAGGACTGAAGGCTTGTGGCGCGGTACGGACGGGGGAAACACACACGGGACTCAGGCCAGGCCCTGACTCACGCGGAAGATATTTCCTGAACCCAGCAGCCTGGAGAAGGCGGCCGGAGTCTGGAATAAAAGCGTATAGCAGTGTCCACAGTCTCTGTGTGGATGAGTCAAAGGGAGAAGAGCATCATCTGCTGCAATTCAGCTTTTCAACGATCCTGCCCCCCCCCCCGGCCACTGTTTATCCCACATTCCAATAATGAATGTGAAAGGTCATTAAGCAAAACGTTGATCACACGGCCCGAATGAATTAGTCTAAAAACACTCCCCCCCCCCAGGACTACTTACACAAGAGTGTTGCAAAAAAGCATCCCACACAGCCTGGACCTGTTTTGACAAACAAGAGCAGAAGTGAGGCTCCACCCACCAGCCCTCTGCCAATGGGATGCTCAGTCTGCATGGTGAGGCCTCACCCACCAGCCCTCTACCAATGGGATGCTCAGTCTGCATGGTGAGGCCTCACCCACCAGCCCTCTACCAATGGGATGCTCAGTCTGCATGGTGAGGCCTCACCCACCAGCCCTCTACCAATGGGATGCTCAATCTGCATAGAGAGGCTCCACCTATCTGTTCATGGCAGCTCGATTCTGCAAATGGCACAAGTGCGTTTCGCCAAGACACGCGGACACTGCCGTCATTAAAGACCCAGCATATATACATGATGAAAGTGTCACGGCGGAGCTGGCTGAAAATGTCCCTTTGATGCCTCCGTAGCACTGGGAATTGGCTTGTCTATGAAAACCAAGAAGGGGCACCCTTTGCCAAATATTCCCAGTCACGTGACAGACGCCTTGGCATTCCCAGCAAGCTGTTTCACAGCCCATGGCTGCATTTGAAGCTACTCCAAAAATAGCAGAGACTTTTGAAGTACAAGTACAAAGGAAACCCATCGCGGATGTTTGTAAACAAGGCCTGTAATGACGGTACAGCCCTCAGCGATTTCCCCCAGTGCGGTTAGGCCACGCCCCCGCTGCGTTTGACAGCTCTGGACAGTGTGTCAGAGAGCCGGGGACAAGAAGCTTTGTGTGCCGGTTTGAACGAGCTGAGACTGCTGACGGCGGCTCTGAAAAATGCGTTAGAGGCATCTGAAGGACCCGCTTCCTCAGTAATGGATGGCCTCGCTGTGGATTGTGGGCGGAGCCTGCCATGCAGGACTAGGGTGGGGCCTGCATAGACAGTAGGATGTCTACCTCGTGGACCCTTTGGCTCACCAACTGGGATCGTGCGCCACAAGCATCAAGACACCCATTATAGCTAGCAATGGACCGCTACGCTAGCACCCAGCCCCCACCGGCTTCCGTCAATGGCCTGTCAGGCAAAAAGCATACTGTACCATCTCTGTACCAGCTACCCCCACACACGTCGCTGAAATAACAGGCAGCCCACCGGCGCCAGCCAGCACAGACGGCCGGAGACGCAGCCCGGGTGACAGCATGCTTCCGATTCGCCGCGGCGATCGATCCAGGGCGGCATTTGTGGGGAAACACGCCGCCCCCAGACTCCCACCCAGCCACCCACACGCGCAAACAGCCTTATTCCTGCACGAAATAATGACCATCCGCCCTCGGCAGTGATGGGAGCCTCCGCTGCAGGCACACTGCTCTGAATCAGCAAGTTCTCCTAGAACCATAAGGCTGGATCCAACCAACTGTGTCTTCGGAACGGGGGGGGGGGGGGGGGAGGTGTGCGACCGGGAGGCTCACAGCAGTAGCTGCTGGCGAGCTGGGGTTGAATAAGGCAGCGACGGCTGTGCAGCTGGTCGTGGACACATGGCGTGTCATAAACAGTCCTCCCGCTCAAAGCCCACCTTTGTTTTCACGACACACAATGGGCCCCTTTCATCCACAAGGCGTGCAACAGTCCCTGAACACCAACATGGCCTGGCCGCATATTCTGGCAGGTGGCGGAGGGTTGACTTCAGGGGGCCCATCAGAACCTGCTTTTTTTTTCCCCCTTCAGAGCTTCCTGTCATTTTTTCCGCAGGTCTAAGGGTACCTCAGTTACACCACGTGTCTGAGAGGGGGAGAGTGGGACAGGCAACAGGCACCCATGACCGCATGTGGGTCTGCAGGGACCCAAACGGCCAGACTCCTCAGAATAGTTTCCCACTGCTCTGCACGGCATGAGAGCGGCCAATGAGGACCCACTATGCAAATCAGGACATCCTCTCAGCCAATGGGAAAGAAGGCACAGGCAAACATTTTCTGTAAAAATCAATCCATCACCACATCTAACAGCACACCTGGATCTAACCCCAGCTACTGTGTTAAGCATCAGTTACGCTCTGTTAACTCAGACTTCTGCAGAAAGCCTCGCAGACAACATATCCGAAAATATGGGAAAATGGACATATTAAAACAAGCTTTTGACGGTGAGGACGTGCCTCTGTCAAATAGACAACTTTCCAGCTAACAGTGCATACAACAGACAGGACCTCACACTGCTTTTATTTACACGGTACTCCAAAGTGCCCGTGTGCTGTTCACTGGACTGCTGCCACGGTTGCGGACGTCCCCTGTGAGCGTGCGTGTGGGTTTTCCAGCTCTGTTTACACTGCCGGCAGCCTCAGAGGCGAGGGACGCCGTGAAATTAGCACGTTTACTCAAATAACTAGCATAGCCGGACGCTTAAGCGCAGAGGTGGAACGAAAATCGGTACATAGGCCTCAAGATATTGGCATTGGCTGATTCCGGTGGAGCCTCGGAGGTTAGTTTCAGGCCTCGAGATAGAGGCCAGCGTGGACGCAGTGTTGCCGTCTCCAGGTCAACGGGGAAGAGAAAGGCTTCCGGTCGGTAGACAGCAGGAATTTAATTAGGAGAGTGAGCTGTGTAATAGAGGGTCACCACAACACATTGATGCCGTCAGGGGACGGCGTTCAATCAGACGTCAAATGAGCCCCCGTCGGCTCACCGTGACATAGCAGAAAGGAAGGAGGGAGAAAATGACGGCGATGCCGACGTGGAACGCGGCAGGAGCACGCTGGGAGTTACCAGTCACACGATTTACATGATTTATTGCAATAAAAAAGGTGAAACTGCGAAGGAAGAGAAAGGAAGGCTGGTGTGCATCTACACTCAGGGGCAAAGGGGACCGTGTCGCAAGCCAAGCAGGAAATGTCACCATGCAAATTAAAAAATGCCAGTGAGGGCCGACTCCACTGGACTCTGAACGCCAACACTGGGACAGACCCCAGAACGAGGAATGTCGAGATTAATCCATCATTATTTTAATGAGCCAGCCAGGCATCCATCCATCCCTTTCCCATGACAGCGGGAGGTAGCAGTGAGCCTGGAGGCTATCTCAGGATGCAGAGGGTG